CAGTTTTCTTTGTTGATGGGCTATGAAACTCGACGCTTGTCTGTCTTCTTCGGGGTTTGCAGGAGACTGTTTTATCACCACAAACCCCGCTATGTCGCGTGCAGCGTGCAGATTACGAGAACGAAGGGCGAAGATAAACACAACTCCAAGGAACAGCCTTCTCTGGGATAAGATTACACAAGTGCAGCTGATCTGTAATTTTTTTAACATTTACGCGGTTCTTTCTGTTACTTCTAATGGTAGATTTATTTGATTAATTGTTAGGCCGTGGCGAATAAATTGAAAATGACGACAATGAAATGGATAATGTTTGATATATATATATATATACATATATATATATATATATATCAAACATTATCCATTTCGTTGTCGTTATGAAACATCAAGCAGGCCACTTCGATTTTATCTTGGATCAAGCAAAGGCTAGCTAAAACTTTGGCCTAAAGGCTGGAAGACTTTTGAATTATATTTTTTATGAAACATGTACGCAGCTCTACGAAAGTTCCTGTATAAACGTGTCTAAATGCATTGTAAGGTTTATTCTAGTGTTGTCAATTCAAGGAACATAGATCAAATTGCTGTGATTTATAATATCATTGTACCCATATAAGACTACTGTGAATTAACCACAGTGCTGCATTACGGCAACCGCAAAACATCACGGCGCGGATCGTTTGCACGCGCTGCTTTGCATAAATGTATGTCACGATTATTATTTATATTCTGATGATAGATTCTGTGATTCTGTAGACCTACATGTCTTATAATTAAAACTGCATCTTGCAAACATTGGAATATATTTTCAGTGCAGAAAAGACCGGAATCAACGCTGAGTTTTCAAGTTAATGTCCTCGTTTTCTATATTGCATTTAACTTGCACATTAATGATAGTTATTTTATATAAGATGTCTCCGCCTGTGCAGAGGCCAAGTCAAAAACGTGATAGGAAAAGAAAGGCTTTTGTATCGTCCTTTATCAATCTTCAGACAGAATTCGTTAAGAATTGGCACAGTGAGAGACTCATGTGGTTTTGCGTGAAATATAGAAGACGCTCCTGCAGATAAATCATAAAAGATAATCAGGCACAAGATCGCATTTCAAGAAAATTACAGCGCAAGGGGGGGGGGATCGATACTACAACCCTTTTGGCATAGAAAGGGTCCGCTGCTCTGAGTCAAAATTGCAATGAAATGGTCCTTTTTTTTTGCGTTTTCTAGCCCGAACTAAACACGAATAAGTTCAAAAAGAACTGATCGCTAGCTCCAGATAAACAAACACATAAACATGACAAACGATGTAATGTTTTGATATCGGAAATACTTTTAATCAAATTGACGGTCTTTGATACTCATGGGAATGTGACATTATGTGTGCGAGTATAGGTGTGTGCATGCGTGTGCGCAGGATGATCGGTGTCCGCACCTGATGTCTTCGAGGGGTGACGCAATCTGGGAGGGTAGTGTTGGAATGCTACATACCGAGGTTATTCTGCTTTATTCTTTTTGATTCTATATTCAAACAGCCAGAAGAGCAGAGATTCGAGCAAGGAGTACGTTTTCCAGATAAAACGCTGCACGAACAGGCCTATTGAGAGTGCGCGCGCAGCAAGAACATGACATCACTTTCACGTCGAAATGACGCCATGCGATTAATGGGGATGCGTGACCTGCAAAGCTGCAATTGTTTATATGAGAAATATCACCAACATCTCGTTAATTTTGTACTCATAAATTTTAGTGTTTTATATTATTAGCTTCGTATCTTAGTGTTTTATAATTTTAAAACCTGTTTTTCTACACAGGCGCAGAGTGACGTAATCCGAGGACTACCACTGGATAAGCGTGCCAAAGAGGGAGTACGTCAAGAAACAGCAGCGTTTTCTGAGCAGATTATGTCTCTTAGTACTAATTTGTTTGTTTGACACTGTTTTTTGTGTTTTTTATTTGGATTGGGAACACGCATTATATGATTTATTCACTAGCATGTATTTTGGTATTGGCCTTTCCTACTAGGGAGTTGTGTTCATTTTCATCATTTATTTACAGCATAACCAGGTTGAGGGAAGAGCAACAGCAGTGTCTGAAACGTTCGCTGAATCCACTGTCAGCGAATCTAAAGATATTGCCGTTTATTTCACATCTGTTCATTAACCAAAAATAAGTTTCACTAATCTGTTGCCATTTTCGAGGTATTATGAGAAATCACTGCTACCACTACGGCTGGAGCACTTTCTAAGTTATAAAACATTCAACACGTCCACAAAAGAGCTTTTTTCTAATTCCATGCAATGCTTTAAGGGATTAACTTAGAGTTGACTTTTTATCACCGGGAAAGAGGATTTTATTGTCTAGGTTATTGCTACATTAATAATAAGTAAAGGGAACGGTGCACATCAGTTACAGCTGGGAGAAAATCAAATATATATATATTACTCATATTATAGTTTGTGCAATAATTCTGTATATATTCTATAATTACAGAAATTACTTAAATGTACATGTTAAGTCAGTTCAATTTTAAGTGTCGCAATTTCATTTTCTGCTTTAAAAATCCGTCACGCCGTCGGTGTACAGTAGATGGTAATGATGTAATGCTAATATTTGTTGGAATAGTTTATTTATGTTCCGATAAAATGTATCACTTTGTTGTGCTGTCTGCATTGTTAAGATAATGTATCGAATACCAAACCAGAGATAATTTTTTTCCACAGCCAATTGGCACTAGAAATAGTTAAACACTTTGGTCAAGTTGATAATTACCAACTACAAACAATGTAAATTGACAGAGAAATACGTAGCGTTGCCAATCCTTTGTTATACGGGACTATGAGTAACCATGTCCTCTAAAAAGTTAGAAAATGATTAGCAAATGTTCCATAACACCTAAAAAATTCTTTGCGTATTGTTGGCCTATACCAAAAATCTAATTGGAAGTTTTAAACTGGGGGAATGTTTATTCAGCCGTTTATTCGTGGATGGCAACGGTTATTTGAAAAGATATCTCCAAACTGTTTTAAATAAACAACAATCTCTATGGTTGGCCTGTTTCACATGTCTAGATCTCTTCACACCCAATGGAGAAAACTCTGTCCTGACAAGCCAAGCGTTCGTTCTGGGTCTAGGTCTGGTCAGGGTTCTTTCTTTTACATTCCTGCAAAAAAGAATATATATTCGAATAAATATTTATCTGAAATTGAATACAAAAAAAAAAAAAAAAGGACCACCGTATGAAATGTCCCGCCTTCTATCTTTCAGCGAGAGTGCATTTCCATCCACGTGGGTCAGGCTGGATGCCAGATTGGCAATGCATGTTGGGAACTCTACTGCCTTGAGCACGGCATTGAGCCCGACGGTCACATTCCATCCGACAAGAAATCAAACAGTGACGATTCCTTCAATACATTCTTCTGTGAGACAAGTTCCGGAAAGCACGTCCCCAGAGCAGTTTACGTTGATTTGGAGCCAACTGTTATTGGTAAGCATCTCACAGTAATCAACGACCATCTGGTGCCTTTGCCGTTGCATTATAAGTTAGGTGTTCTAGACATAATGAAACGTTTTTTTTATTTCAAACTGCATTAACATTTAGTTCAATTTTTCTCAACAACAGAGATATATAGTTAAAGATACACATATTTGAAATTAGAGTCAGTAAGTCAAGGAGGACAAAAAGCGTGAGCCATTGCCTTTATATTTAGGAAAGTTTCTACACATATCTTAGAGATCTTTCATAGTTTATACGAAACGCACCGTCACGACTTACTAGTTTCTCTTCACCATATGCTTTGGTAGACGAGCCATGTATTTGTAAATGAGCTTTGAGAGCCGAGGAGTCCCTAAATCGATATTTTACAGCTTTTTTGTCTCGGAATGCATAGGGTTCTGACCGCTTCAGCGTTATCGAGGGACATAAGTGATAAACTTGGCATAACGTTAAACATAAACAGCTCATAGAATCTAAAGAAGTCACCAGACGGACGGTTTAGCTGATGAAATTCTACGAAAGAACGAATGATCTTTGGTGGTTTATGGAGTTACAAATCACCATCGCTTAATAGGGCTTACCTCCTTAATGGCATATGGAAGAAATAAAAGTACAGAGAATATAGCTGTATTGTTTAAGTGGATCTTAACAAAGAGATGGAAATGTCTATTTATGATTATTATTGCTGAAATACATATATTTGCTCATGGTCTGTTTTATTGTCTCTCTGTAGGTACAGATGTAATATTTAATTTCAACAATAGTAAATATTTCAGTAATCTTTGTGTTGTATTATACATGAGAATTTGTCTTCCTTGCATAAGAAATCGGAAGCTAACATATACATGTATATTTTAGCTTTAAAAATTTTTTTAATGGCAAGTATATCCGCAAGGTGATATTCAATTCATTGAAATCAGGCAGTTTTGACAGGCCAGTGTGGGATAATCTTACAATAAAGAGCATTATGAATGTCTCAAGATCTTCATAATTTTCCAGTACAAGATATTTGCCAAATAATATGAACCCATATGCTCGAGACAGCTTATCTCCACCTTAAATTTAGCCACGCTTTTTTTTATTAATTTAAAATAAGAAATTCGCCTTTTGAGCTGGGATAACCCTTTTTAGTTTGAAACATGTATATCTCGCAATATTTAAATAAAAGGCTGTCCAAAAATTAATAAATTATTTTGTCAATTTCAAAGTATCCCTTCGCATACATGTGGTGTTGTTAATACACAAATACATGCCATTCCAGACGAGATCCGCACCGGGAAGTACAGGCAGCTGTTTCACCCGGAACAGTTGATCAACGGCAAAGAGGATGCCGCCAATAACTACGCTAGGGGTCACTACACGGTCGGCAAGGAGATTATTGACCTGGTCATGGACAGGGTCAGAAAGATGGTCAGTATATATCTCAATTTTTAGTCGAAACAATGAAGAATTTTTTTGGCCATATGTGATATTGTGTCTTTGCCTTAATAAGAAACACCATCATTGTTCCCGTATTTTAATCCGCATCCAGTAAGCTACGGAATTCACCAATAGGGGCGCTTTTTGTGAGTTCAGAATTCTTTTTCTTATGAAAATAAGTGTCGCAGCGCCTAATATGATTACATCTGATTTTGTTAATATAATTTTCAAATATTTCTTCAGGCCGACCAGTGCACAGGTCTACAGGGGTTCCTCATTTTCCACAGCTTTGGTGGTGGCACTGGTAGCGGGTTCACATCTCTGCTCATGGAACGCTGCTCAGTAGATTACGGCAAGAAGTCAAAGTTGGAATTCGCCATCTACCCAGCCCCACAGGTAAAACGAGGATTTTTTTGTGATTGATGAACATAATGCGTCATAATTATGAATATTATAGCTATCAAAATTCAATTTCAAGAATAGAGGCACAAAGGCGAGAGATGGAGATAAATTATTTGTTCATGCCGAACTTTGATACTGCCACCCTCATCCTTCTTCAACCAAGCCTAAAGATATTTAAACGAGAGTAAAAAGGACCTGTTAAATGACTTTAAATTGCATAGTAGTGTAGAAGGAGATAGTTACCTTATTGTATTGGGCAATGGTGGATATGTTCATCAAAATGCAAAACATTTATTCGAGGCGATATTTGTTCACCACAATGTTAAATATCCATTCAGATTTCCACTGCAATAGTTGTTCACCACAATGTTAAATATCCATTCAGATTTCCACTGCAATAGTTGTTCACCACAATGCTAAATATCCATTCAGATTTCCACTGCTGTAGTTGTTCACCACAATGTTAAATATCCATTCAGATTTCCACTGCGGTAGTTGAGCCGTACAACTCCGTGCTCACCACCCACACCACACTGGAGCACTCCGACTGCGCCTTCATGGTGGACAACGAGGCCATCTACGACATCTGCCGTCGCAACCTCGACATTGAACGCCCCACGTATCAGAATCTGAACCGTCTCATAGGTCAGATAGTATCGTCCATCACTGCGTCCTTGAGGTTCGATGGCGCCCTTAATGTTGATCTCACCGAATTCCAGACAAACTTGGTGCCATACCCCAGGATTCATTTCCCGCTGGTCACATATGCGCCCATCATATCAGGTATGTTAGTGGATAGTGGTTTAAACGTTTTTAATTCTGTGGGCATGCTTTGTGTCTCTGGAAATGATACGATGTCTTTTTGGAAATGCCTCTGTAATTTGAGATGTCCACTCAAGCAGTTATTATCCAATTTGTTGCGGTGATGATGGAAGGAGAATTTCATTGTTATAAATATTATAGCTATGTGGGCTAGGGAAACAAGGGGAAATATGCTCCCCATGGCATTGCATGTTTCGCGTTTTTAAGCATTCAAACACTCGTGATTGTACACCTAAATTAATTATTAATCAGACTTTAGTCTGATAGATATGCTATAGGTAGCTGTCTTGCATATAACAGTTTATTAATTTCTATATACTGTCTTATTTTTGTATTTTGTGCACTCGAATTTCAGCCGAGAAAGCGTACCACGAGCAGATGACCGTGGCAGAAATCACCAACGCCTGCTTCGAGCCCTCCAACCAAATGGTCAAATGCGATCCCCGCCACGGGAAGTATATGGCCTGCTGCATGCTGTATCGTGGAGACGTTGTTCCAAAAGACGTCAACGCCGCCATCGCCACCATCAAGACCAAGAGAACAATTCAGTTTGTTGATTGGTGCCCAACCGGTTTCAAAGTGGGTATCAACTACCAACCGCCAACAGTCGTGCCAGGTAATAGTATATTATCCTGAAGCTGTGCCTTTTCATGTTATTGTTCTACAGACACATTTGCAACAGGTCTAATTTGAAGTCCAAAAAGCAAATATAATGGCTTACTACAAAGTACAAGCAGCATAAAAGTACATTTATTTTCCGTGATGCCATCACGGTTTTCTGAAAAGACAGCGTCGACTTATTAATTTTATCGCATCGGGTTATCTTTTACGTTTGAAACTGCAATTTTTTCGACGCAGGTTCCAAACCAATGAGTTTTTTCAATCACGCGTGCAAAGTCGTGCAAAGACAAAAATGTCTCCTCGACACGCGACACAATCCCACCATTAGGCATGTCATCTTGGGTCTTCCTCTCTTGTCTCTTTAGGTGGTGACTTGGCCAAGGTGCAGCGTGCTGTTTGTATGATCAGTAACACCACAGCCATTGCCGAGGCCTGGGCAAGGCTGGACCACAAGTTTGATCTCATGTATGCAAAGAGGGCTTTCGTCCACTGGTATGTGGGTGAAGGTACGTATTGGTTGGTTATAGAGGATTAATGGGCAATTTATGGACAATTTTTAATTATCCGTCTACCCATGAATCAGAAATTACTTTAGGTTTATGTAGTAATTGGTTTAAAGGTATCATATCCAGGGTTTCTTGCCAAATCGAAAGAAAAGGCATTATTTCCTACTCACGAATCAATGCTTGCCCCGGCCCTGTGCTTGGATTCGAAACAATAATGAGAGTGTCTCTAAAACACATTGACTTTTACGAACTAAGAGTCGTTTTTGGATTCCGAGAAATGAGGATTATTAAATAGTCACCAATCCATAATTGGACCTTTCCACCGAAAAAGAACCCTTTTCGAAAAAACAAAAGTTCCAATGAAAACAGTGCAGGGTTACCATTTTAACGACAACACTACAAGGCATTTTTACATTTCATTTATATTTATCAATGTAGGTATGGAGGAAGGGGAGTTCTCAGAGGCCCGAGAGGATCTTGCCGCTCTGGAGAAGGACTACGAAGAGGTCGGCGTAGAATCTTTAGACGGAGGCGTCTATGAAGATGAGACAGAGGAATACTAGAAATTTGATCTCGGGCACCCTCGTCCCCATCCCCCTGCAAGTGGCACCCAACTCCTTGCGCTGTCTGGAGTATTGCGTATACAAACAATGTATTTCCGTGTAATTCACCTGTTAACAACATATCTAATTATTTATTTCGTTTATTGTGCTATGGCTTACGCAATCACCCTGGATTTCACAGTATTTTGCTTTAAGTGCAAAACAACGTTCGTTAATACTGTAGTGATTTTAAACAAGCGGAGCAATCAAGGCATAGCGGGTGTAAGTAAGAAGCACTATATGGTAACGGGTTAGATCGCGTTATCGATACTTTTCAATTCATACCCGTCTGCATTCATTCAAAATTCAGTATTTAAAATTGCTATGTATACAGTTTATCAGTTTAACCATCTCTTCGCACTTATTCTTAAGGCATTTTACAATCTGGAAATTAAAGTGTTTTGAATTTGACATACATGTATCTATCTCATGTATGCCATATAATAGGTATCCGCTACGAAACTGGTTTATTTGGAAACAAAATGCACCCCTTATGCCTTAGAGTGCCAAGAGCTTGGAATTCGGGGTATATCAACTTAGAAAAAGCGATCAATATTATTGATGCCATTTGTGCCAAAAATGTATATAGACTTGTAGCAAGCCGATAGATGTCATTTTCCTGAATCATGGACGCTATTTTATAGGGAAATGGACCCAAAACAAAAACGAATACTTTCGCTGCTGGGCTTCGTGCAATGGTATATTTCTCTGTTACAGTGTTCTACGTTTGTTATCTGAGTTCGTCTCAGGTTCTGAAGTGGGAATTGATGCATAAGAAATCACTCAGGCTTGAGCCATCGGTATCAATCTGATCATAAAGAAATAAAGAATATTTGTAACTCCTTTATATTGTGCTGTGTTGTTCTAGTATTGTTCCAGAAATAAAATTTGATTAAACATGTTAACAACCTGAAAATATATTTCCTTTCGGTCCCATAAATAACAATAGAAAATAATGCCAGGATCGACAGACAAAATTTTCATCTCCATTTGCTTATATATGAGAACAGCAATGATATTATTTACATTTTATTTTAATGGGAGGGAGCGTCAAGTCGGTGTAAGTGCTTTGATCTGACCTAAACCGACGTAAATAATATGGCATACCAATTAAAAGAATAGGACAAACTCAAGTATGATGTTCGAAATTTGG